ACAAAACCGTAGGTTTATTAAAACCTACGGTTTCCTCTCGGTTTAGCTACGGTTTCCCAAACCGTAGCCTACGGTTTTGGGAAAAAACATACGTTTTTTTTTTTTTTTTTTAAAGTCTACTGTTTTGGGGTTTAATCTACTGTTTTGTCAAAAAAACTATGGTTTTGGGGTTTAATCTACTGTTTTGTCAAAAAAAAAAATTCCGTACGGTTCATACGAAACCGTAGGTGTACAAGTCGACACTGTACAATCTGTGCATTGGGCACTTGTACACCGTAGGTTTCGTATGAAACCTACGGTTTTATATTTTTTTTTTTCGATTTTTTTCAAAAAAAACTTAACCCTATATACAAAACATACTCTTAATCACAAACACGGTAAAATTTTGATGAAAAGTAGACAAACCTGGTTGTTATTCGGGTGCTCCATTAAGAGAAAAAAATTGCCAAACCATCAAAAAAATAGGAAAAAATGACCTAATGTGAAAATTTTTACATTATATACTTTGGGCTAATGGGCCATAAAAAAGTAAACGAGCCTGTGAAACAGTAGCTCATTAGGGAAAAAAAGTAGTCTTAGGGGAAAAGTGTAGTCAACTGTGGAAAAGAGTAGTCAACTGTAGGTTGACTACTCTTTTGTGGGTTATTTTTCGCTAAGTGGTTTTTTTGGCTATTTTTTGATAAGTAATTAAGGATTTTGGCTAGATTTGTATTTTCCCCTTAAATTTTTTTGCTAATACTTAATGGTTCACTGTTTTGTGTTTCATAAATTGATTATTAATTGTTTTTAGTTTATTTGAATTTAGTTTCATCTAGTAGGCTATCAACATGGTAATATGTTAATACTAAATTGTTAATATTGGTTCTTTAATTTAAATGACATTTGATAGTGACCAAAAAGTTAAGAATTTTTGATAGCCGATTTTGGCATCCGAAAACCAAAATTCACCATTCGAATTTTTGGATATTCGGTTTTGACCACCCTACCAAACACGGTAGGGTTATAATTTGGACCACTGGAACTGGAGGATCTGGATCTGGTAAGCGTCAACAGGTTTGGGACCAAGGTCAACCATTTTTTGCAAAATAGGTCGGGTCTAAGAGCCGGTCCAGTCCAAATGCTCACTCTTACGTCCAAGAACCGGGAACTAGACTTGGTAAGCCAAGTCTCAACAGGTCTGGTCCAAGGTCCACCAATTTTGCAAAACTGGTCCGGTCCAAATGCTCACCCCTAAAACACGACATGTTTTATAATATTTTAAATCACTTCAAGATTGAAGGCAAACATGCAACAAACTACATCGCTAACTTTTTTTTGGATTGCATACTTAAAAAAACCATATTCCTAGATCTTTGTGCTCATAACATTACTATGCATAAAAGGTTGGACTCTATTTAAAAGGAATACTAATTTTTTTTCTAGGAACACAACAAAATTCTGGCTCGCTGAATCAATTATCTATATTACATTTATAACCAATTTAAATTATTTGCATATAATAAATTATCGTATTAATGAAACAACATATAATGAATAACAAAATAACAAAATTAACTATAAACTATTATTTTAAAAACAATAACCTAAAAACGAATAACTTCAAAGTTGAAGGACCAATTGTACTAGTGAAACTTTAAAACCATAGTTGGTTATCTGATAACTGACAGGTATCTACATTGGTGATGAAAAAGTGATCCATTTCACGAGACACGGTCCAAAAGTAGGAACATCATCAGTTCTCGATGTCCTCATGGTCAGCTCAGTGCCAACACCCTCTCTAACCTCATGCCCTAACTGCACTCACACCGAAAACAACAATGAAGTTATAACCTCTTGTCTCGATTGTTTCCTCGCCGGTGGAGTCCTCTACCGTTTCGAATACTCCGCCAACCCCGCCGTCTTCTTCGTCAAAGCCCGCCGCGGCACTTGCACGTTTGCCGCCAGCGACCCGCCAGGGGCCGTCCTCCACCGCGCAAATTACCTCCTTGACAAAGGCTTCGGTTGCTACAACATTTTCAAGAACAATTGCGAGGATTTTGCCATATATTGTAAAACTGGCCTTCTTGTTTCCGGAAAAAAGTCAATGGGTCAAAGTGGACAGGTGGCCTCCCTCATTGATGGGCCCCTTGTGGGGTTCCTTTCGGTTGTGGTTAAGCTTGTGAAGACGAATGTTTATGTGAAGACAGCGTCGGTGGCATCGAGTGTGGCTACATATTGTGTTACTCGGTATGCTACGGATATTGGTATAAGGAGTGATGTGGTTAAGGTTCGTGTGGAAGATCTACCGATAAAGCATCATAATATTGCTACCTAGGAATCTAGGATTGGGTGGTTGTTTTTTTTTAAGAATGTTTTTGTGTCAAATGTTTGTTACTAGGCCTATGATCTTATGGATTTGGGCTTTAGATGCTTGTGTTTTTTTCTTCTTGTTTTTAAGCTCTATGTTAAGGAAAACGAAAACGAAATGGTTGATGTGTTTGGGCTTATGGATTTTAGTGAGTGATTTATTGTTTTTTGTGCATAAAAACAATTACGGCATATAAACCCAGTTCCGGAAAGTGATAAAAACAAAAAATTTGAGAAGGATTCTCATAAACTAATTCGACCTTGAGATGCTTATATACCACACTATTGTCCGAGTAGAAACATAAGATCTGCAAAACAAAAAAACAAAGACGACTGTGATTAAATTTTAGTAAGAACATAAGAAGAGATTGAAGTGACAAAGTGCAAAAAAAATAAATAAAAAAATAAAT